CAGACTACTCCAAATGGGTTTGGCATAGGTGTGCATACATGTATCCTGTTCTGCTGTTGCCCCCTGCTAAGCGCAGAGAAAGGAACAGAAGAACTTACAACAGAGGGAACAGACATACAAATGGGAACAAAACATAAAAAAAAAATCACAAACCACAAAAAAATCACAAAAAACCCTATGTAATTTTTGCGTGTCAGGTTTTACATTTATGTTTTTAATTTTTTTTCCCAAAGTTTTAAAATACATTTTTCTCTCCTACAATTCCTTTTCTCTGCTAAGAATTATTTTTAAAAGTCTTTGCCTTTTTCCCAAAACTGGTATGTCCTACAGAAAATCTTCAGTTTATACATTGTTCTGATTAACACAGAAATATCCTGATGATACAGGACAATGCACAATGAATTTAGTTTCTTGATCTGTGATCAATTGGAGCATCTCCAAATCTAGTAGTCTTTCCTTCCTATTTTCCTCCAATTAAAATATGTAACTTTAAAGTGACTATATTTATGTCTCTGTTGATTGTTTTGTAACCAACTGATTCTGTCAAACCTTAAGAGTGCAATTCTTCACATAGCCTCTGATTTTATTATGACTTCATATTCTTGTTCTTTAGGAGATCAGACATGATTGTATCTGTGGCTAAAATCGATTACTTTTAATATAACAAAATGAAGCGCATGATAACTGATGTTAAACAGAGTAGAAATCTGTGGATATATGACTCATAATAACAGGTAAGGTTTAGAGAAGAAAGGCTTTAGAAACAGGAATGCTACCAAATATGAAAACAAAGCATCTGGAATAGAAGAAAAGTTTCTGAAACTAAAAGCTCAAATGAGCCTAAGGATAGGAGCAAGCTATGATAGCAATCAAAGAAGGACAAGTGAGAGACAGAAGGCATAAGGAGCGGCTATACAGGACAACAAAAGGAAAGACGAAAAAAATAAATGATAAAGCACTGGAATAACCCGAGGACTTGATTTTCAGCAGTGCTAAGCACTACTGCAAATCTAGCCCCTTAGTTCTTAATGGACCGGTTTATCACAAAACCTTGCCAAAACACCTGAAGGATTTATAGATCCACTTATTTAAAAAGCAGAAACCTACACAAAAATAACTTTACTCAGAATAAAAGAAGTGACTAGTCTAACTAAAGCATCATAAATTTAATTGTCAGGTGTGAACACAAAGACACCAAACTTTAAGAGGAAATAAATGTGTTTACTTTCAGCTTGAGTAGCTAAGCAACAGATAAAAGTGGTAAAATTCTCTACCTTTATCTACTGTTGACTCTCTGTAAGGGAATGGCTGGATTCCTGATAAGTAATAGAAAATTGTTAGTCTTCAATATGGCCAATATATTGACAGCATTACTATAAATTAACACATAGAATTTATATAACTATAGAAATATAGTTCAAGCACACAAACATGGCAGCTAAGTAGGTATTTCCAGGAACCATGGATCCACCACCAAGATACCGTGAGGCAGCTTGAGTTTACACGCAAAATTTCACCAAGCCAAGCAACTGAGAGATTGCATTTTTAGCGATGCTTGCACTGGATGCACTTTAAGAATATTAACTCATGATTTCTAAAATTATAATGAAAAAATCTTTTTTCTGCTTGTTTTCACGCTTTATTTTTTTTGTCTGTAAAATTCATTAACATACACAAAAGTCCAGGTAACATAAATAATAAGCCATGTATACAATGAACCAGCTGAGCCATACATCCCAGGCAATAAAAGCTGATGTACACAATGGTTAAAATTTATGAAAGCCCATAAAATGCATGACAAATTTTGCAAATTGATCAGGTACTATGCCTGTTTAAATTCATAAAAGCACAAGAAGCCAGCAAAAGTATAAATCATTGGGGGGGGGGGGGAAAAAATACTGAGAAGCATATAAAAACCATGATGTATTTCCTCAAAATAGGTGCTCAAGACATGCCTCGTGGAAGTAATATATCCCTGATGGTCTTCCCTTAATAGCATAGAAAGAGGCTACTCAAAGTCTCTGAATTTCTGCCACTTAGCCTTATGTCAGGGGAGCAGAAGAAAGCAGACTGTTTCCACCTGAGGCGAGTTTTGCTCAGCAGCCCCACATGGCTACTGGCTATCCATCTACCCTTCGCCTCTCCCAGGTTATCCTGCAGCTGCTTCAGCAACTGGTATTTCCTGTGATCCAAATACATGGTGGAAAGTTCAACTACTGCACTAGAGAGTGAGCAGTGTAACCTTCCAAGTTACTCTGGGCGGTTTCAGGTATTTCTGTCTTATAAAAGAAACAGCACTGATACTATTGTTTTCAAAACTTTTAACTGCATAGGCAAATTGCTCTTTTCATTTGAAAAAATGGAAAAATACTGTCCCCATCACATGATGTATACTGAAATGGTTAACAAGACTCTTGGAGCACACTAACTATGTTCCCTTCCTGTTTATCAATACTGAAAAAAATAAGGGAGACAAGTAATAGGACTGCATTGCTCCAAAAAAAATATTTTTTGATGTCATCCAATGACTTGCCAAATATGTCTGTAGAAGTTACTGAATAAGGCCAACTGCCACCATTTTTGTCTTCTCCTTGGTTATCTGTTAGCCAGATTATACTGGCTCTGGCAAACTGAAGAAGGTTGGATTATGGAATGATAAGCAAGGAATAGGATTTTTTTAGAATTTATTGTGACAGGGACAATCTGAGACAATTCTTGAAAATAAGCAGAAGCCAGTCCACTTCCATTTGCTTAAATACATTTATTCTCTGCCATTTCATTATTTTTTTACTTCAAAACTTTACTTTGATATACATGCACACAGACCATTAGCATTCATGTAAAGTTATTCTGCTTCTAACCGAGGAAAGGAAATCTTTTTGTCTTAGGTTAGAGCTTTAGTGATTTTTTCCCAAGATTATTCCATTTCAATTTTTTAATGACTGGGTGCAAACTTAGGTTTTGGGTTACCTTTTGTGAAAGAAATCATACATCAAAGCAGCCGGCGATCCTAGGATAGGCATTAGCTTCCCAATTCTGTATAAAATGAGATATGCAGCAATGGAGACCAAACTAGGGCAGCACTTGGACACGCTTAGTATTATACAGTACGTAGCCCTGTTGCTCATTTAGAATTATCTAACAAGAAAAATAATGAACTTCATAGAATGGTTGAGGTTGGAAGGGACCTTGAAGATCATCTAGTTCCAACCCCCCTGCTATGGGCAGGGACACCTCCCTCTAGACCAGGTTGCTCAAAGCCCCATCCAGCCTGGCCTTGAACACCTCCAGGGATGGGGCAGCCACAGCTTCCCTGGGCAACCTGTTACAGTGTCTCACCACCCTCAGAGCGAAAAACTTCTTCCTAATATCTAATCTAAATCTACCCGCTTCCAGCTTCAAGCCATTCCCTCATTGTATCATATTCAACCCAACCTTGGCTAAAATATGTAACATTTCACATAAAACTCTCCGCCACAGATGATTTTTTCATTGTGTATCACACGTACGTTAAATTTGAAAACCAAAGGTCTCTCTCAGTGCTGCAAATGCACCCAACTTTTGACACCCGGACTGCAGCAGGATAATTAACCGAGCAGTTTTTTGATTAATTTCACTCTTCTATCTTTTTCAAGACAACAAAACCCTAACTCTCTTGCCTCACCGTTAAACCGCCCCCTCAGCTTCCACCCCGGCTGAAGGTGAAGACAGACCTCGGCAGCGAGTTCAGCCTGGCAGAGGGGCAGGGGAAGGCCGGGGGCACCCCCTGTGCACCCACACACCGCCGCACACCC